CACACACACACACACACACACACACACACACACACATACATATAAGCACACCTAATTTTTCATTTAATTTTTTGTAACGCCTTCATTTGCATTAATTGTTATTTATTGAGCCCTTATCATACATTATTATTGCGTTTAAAAAGTTCTTCAAAACAAAGAATAACTTACAGCAAACGCGGTAAATTAATTTTTAAGCTTTAAATAGTACTTAATAAATTAAGTGCTTAATGTTTTTGACGAAGACTATATATATATATATATAACATAAAAAATATACAAAATATATAAAGTGTAATATATAAAATGTGTATATACATATGTATATAAAGATATCTTATTCGAAAGTGTAACGCGTATATCGATTCTCGTATCGTGACCGTGACGACATCTCGGCGTCCGCCAGTTTATTGTGTTCATCATGGCTTCGACGGGTTAGTTTAATTGTCGCAAGAATGTCGTTTAATTTTACGTTTTAATTTATTTACAACGTGGCGAGAGACGACAAAATGAGTCATAGGCGAGAAATCATTTGTCTCACGTTTCGTGTGACTGCGGTTATTTATCGTACCGGCGTGATTTACTCTTACGTTTCTGCTCACACCCGTCATTCTTGCTTTGCTCATCGCTGCTGTTTACATACGTCGCGAACGTTTCAAGACGTCTCCAAAAGTTACTGACGGCTTCTTTCTTGTTTCTAGAATCACTGGTGTGCGACACCCTCGACCTGAGCGGTCAAGGTCTCAAGAAGCTCAGTCGATGTCCCTCGGACGCTGATATTAATACGTTGATCATTGACGACAATGACTTACAACGGCTCGATAATCTGGATTCTTATCACAGAATTACGAAGGTAATAGAATTATTAAAGTTTATCTATATTGGTAGAAATAGATATTTAAATCAAAATTATTATTAGAAGATTATTAGTAAAATTATTAACCTGTAATTATAGAGTTTTTGAACATAACGATTTCTTAGTTCTGTGTTCTATTCCTATATGAAGTTATCTTTTCAACTTTATTTTTACATTTAGAACATTTTAAAAGTGTAAATTTTATATAGGAAAAAGATGAATAATGTAAAACTATAGCAATAATTTATAGAATTTGAACTTGAAGTTATTTTGTGAATGTGATATATAAAGATAGAGATATGTATTCTACAGTATTCTATTGCTTTCAGCTTTCGATAATCAGAAACCAATTATTGCGGATGTATGGCGTGTCAAAGTTACATAATCTTGTTACCCTTAATTTGGCAAACAATGGTATACTTACAATAGAAGGTATCAAGGACATGATTAATTTGCAGACTCTCTGTTTAGCGGGTAATAATATCAAGGTATGATATACATGTTACATTATATAAGATTACATGATTGTATAATTGTAACACTGTATTGTAATATTACTATTATACATTAATGGTATGTTGTAGTCTATTGAACATTTACACACAAATATCAAATTGGAACATCTGGATTTGTCTGAAAATAGCATCAGCCATATTTCAGATATATCTTATCTGCGAAATTTAAAGGTATTATTGTATTTGTTTGTTTAATTTTTATTTTTATATAAAATTGTTATGAGTCAATCACACAATTAAACGCTTTATTAATTTGTTGCTTTATTTAGATTGAGTTTACAATCGGTGTATATGTTTTTCATATTTTTATAAGATAAATAACATTTTAGGAACTTTTTTTGCATAACAATCGCATAATAACACTACGTCAGTGTGAGCGCTATTTGCCTACATCCTTGGAAACATTTACATTAGCAAATAACAATATTACTGATTTGAATGAAATGTCACATTTGGCTAATTTAAAAAATCTGGTGAATTTCTCAATTGCTAACAATCCGTGTGTCAGTATAACAGGTAACAGTATGTATCCTTTTTTTGCAAATCATAATACGCGTTATTTCATCTAGAAAGTAGCACACTTTTCTCTTGATGTTATTTTTTAATATTAATTATAGCACAAAGAATTTTATTGTTACTTACATGATTAGTATTTTATCATTTTAATTGTCAAGCATTAATTTTTGCCGATTAAATATTGCTTCCGTTGTTACTAGACATAAGAAAATTAGTTCATATTAATCGTAGCATTGTTACAATAGCATATTATTCTTAACAAATGGTCTATAGTGGATTTGACTATCGGCCTTTTGTTATTAATTGGTGTATGAGCTTAAAATCAATCGACGGTTATGCGGTCGATCCTATTGAAAGGTGGGTTTTCTTAAAAATATATTTTTACATAGTTAATATTGTGTGAAAATTAATCCGTTGAATTTGAACGAGATGATACCCAAACTGATTGGCAATGACTCACTTTACTTAGCTTGAAAGCAGAGTGGCTGTATTCTCAGGGACGAGGTAGACAATTCCGCGTTGGTGAACATGCCTTACTTGCTCAATATCTTGCGTCCGTCTGTCCACTTTCGGGCGAATCTTTAGAGAACGAGACGGATCGGAAACTTAGACTTATACTGAGCAAAGCTCAACATCACCAACAGCAGTTGAATCAACAGAGCGATACCGGGAGCGTGCACAGCTTGAGTAGCGTGGCTATGAGTCCTTCCCCAGCCGCTAGACGTAGACTTAGCCATAACAGGACAAATTCTCCCAGACGACCTAGTGAGTCCAAATAAATCCATGTTTTTGCATAGTGCCATATCAAAGACTCTGGAATGAATTCGTTTTTTTTTTTGAGGATTCTTAGAACTAGGTTTATACTCGTTGCGACAAGTGGACTAGTAGTAATTTAGATTGTCCAGTTGTTAAGTTCTTCAGTACATATACACCCTAGTTATGATCTGTTTTGTCTAGTGCCAATGTTGACATACTATGAAGATAAATACTTACAATCACCAAAATTTTATGAAGCAAAATACTGTGTCTGCCATATTCCTTGCAAAGGTATCCAAGGTCTCATATTGAGGATTTATCATATATCGAATCAAACCACATTATGATAGGAATGTGCAAGAATCTGAGGGAAAAAGGTTTTCTCTCTTAAGACTCGTGTTATCTATAATATACATTTTATAGTACAATTATGATATTATTTAATAACGCAAATTAAATTGAATAAGTAGTTATTTATTTTTAATAATCTTTTAACATAAATTATATGTGTATTAATATTGCATTATTATTAAGTGTATATATAAATATATTCTTGTTATATTTTATTTTTTTTATATATATCACTTAACAAATCCATTATTCAATTATTTATGATTTGATCGAAACCTAAGAATTAATTGGTCTGGATTCATGCACATGCCTGTAATCCTCTCATGCATAGTACTTTTTAAGCAATTGCTTCCTTAGGCTTATAGTGCAAACGACCATTGGCCAATGAAAGCAGTAAAAATATCAACAATGAAGGCGCTATATTTAGAAGATTTAGCATATTAGTATAGGATAATTTGGAAAGAGACGTTCACGTTTCTTTATTTTAAAATAGTATTTAATTTCGATTAGTAGACTATATGTATATCGTTTGTGCATGTTTTTGCTAGCAGTGCTAGCATCAGAAATTATTCAAACACAAATTTTACAAATATAATAAAATTTTATTTATTGTATGATAAGTGTTGATTATAGCGTAAAACAATATTTTGTCAGCTTCCTCGAGGAACCCCTTGAAAATGAAATCACCAGACCGAATGGTATCTAGTTGTCATACTGATGCTATGGTTTCTTCGTGTCATGGTTTGTTGAGCGGCGATCATGAGTCAAATCTGATGACCCAAAGTTTAGATCCTAATATACTGTCTGGTATGGCACTGAGCAACAAAATGTCAAACAATAGTTTGCAAGACATGGAAGGTAAGACAGTTATACAATTAATTGAGTTAGATTAAACGGAATTAGATTATGACAAAAGATTTTCTGTCCAGAGACATCAAGTCCTTTACAAGCGGCTACGAAACTAGTACCAGTACCAGAGTCTCTGATGAGTCCAGATTTTCGTCCACCATCTGGCCTTTCGCGGATTTTACCGAAAACTCCCACATCAAGTAAATTAAGCTCTCCCTGTCAAATTACAATACCTACTAAACCATCCATGGATGGCGACGGAAAGGCAATTCCGATCATAAACACCGTAAATCCAATGGCAAAAACGAATCTAAGCTGTATAAAGGCAAATGCACTTGTAAAAAGTAGTTCCGCGACAAATTGCAGCGTCATGAGACCAAATATAGCAAAACCGATTGTGACATATGCTAATAGTAAGTGTCCACACAGCGTGAAGATAAATAATTATGTTCAAAGCAAGACTTTACCCGCGAAGAGAAGCACAAAGAGTCCTAATTTAGCTAGAAATATACAGCGACCAAAAAGCGCAAATGAGCGACTCAAGAGCAATTTGAATAAAGACGAGAAAGATGGAGATGCTGGAATTCAGAGCAGTGACGAGGATAGTGAAGTGTGTCAAGCAAAATTAGATAGCATTCGTCATAGGGCTATTCAAAGAAGACAAGAAGACAGTAATAAAGGTAAAACATTTAAAATATTAAATGCAAGTATATTAATAAACATTTATCTATATTGAATAGGTATTTTCTTGCAGATCAAGATCAAACAGAGAAGGCTGCTATCTGTATTCAAAGAATGTGGCGAGGCTACCATACAAGAAATCTCAATAAAAAAGCTACTAGTATATTAAAAACAATTGACATGATAAGAACGAATAAATATATCCAGTAAGATTTTAATCTTTTTATCCATAATTTATTTATAAAATAAAAAATGTACACATATAAAATGTTTACAGGAAACTGTCGACAGATATGGAAGCTACAAGAACTGCTCTCGAAAGTGAACATAAATTACAATTATTGCAAATGCAAGCAATTAATGCATTGTGGAAGAAAGTAGTCAGTCTACAACCGGGCGGCAATCGAGAAAACACTTTCAGCGATACGGATAATACTCTGCAACCAAATTCTGATGTAGTAAATAATCTTGCGCAAACGTGCAATCTACTTCATACCCAGGTAAATTTAGGAAAATTTGTCAAAGCAAAATAAAATTTTTTTTATTATAAAAAATCTTTATTAGGTTCAACAATTGCAAGACTCGATGACGGAGATAAAGCGTTGTATGACCAGCATGAAGCCAAAATCCGCTCTTGTTGATAACGGCGTCGCCACTCAAACGGAGATATCTGCCGTGCATACGCCAGCAGGTGAGGAAAATATGTTTCCTTATGGACGTCCTAATAGACCGCAAAGTCTGCCGATACATCAAACAATACACGAGGGAAACGAGAACAAAAGTTTTGCATCGAATTTGGTGGATAGCGTGCTGAAGAAAGTGTCGCAATCCACTGACACGACGGATGATGAAGTTAATACAGATATTTTGAATTCAAACGAAAATCCCGAAGTGTTGAATTCGAACGAGAATCCCGAGATGTTCAAGAGTTGCGAAGAGATAATAGAATCCGATCTCAAGCAAGCAGTTGAGAACGAGACGGATAACTATGAAAATATAATCGAGAATGCGACGATTGATGGTGAAGTATGCGAAGAAACGCTATGTAAGGAGCTGCATAATTTGATTGAAACGGAAAATGGAGCAGATGCTTACGGAAACTGTGCGGACAATGCAGTTAATGGAGATGATAAGGAAGTCTGCTAGATTTGACGTTGTCGAATCAAATTCCGCCATATGCCTTGTGAGTAACGGTATGAAGCGAGAAAAAACGAAAAAAAAAAATGCTCACTGTAAATAACAAAAAATATTTCTACTTATAACAATATTATAAAACGTGATTTAATTTTAATCGTGAACCGTTTTATTACAAAGAAGATGCTTTGATCACGAACAACAAGCTGCCATTCTGACCGAACAAAGTATCTATGTAGCTTAAGTAAAACAGATTGATATGAGTACTGCAGTATAAATGATAGCAGCGACATTATATCATTGAATATACAACGTTTGTCAGCTTATGCAACATTTGTTCAGGTTATAAATATTTTCTGTGAAAAACATTCGCATTATATGTTTGTGTATTATCATAAGAAATTTCAGAAATTTTCCGTCCGACTGTTGACGGTAATACATACACTGCATAAAACATACATTACAAAGTTGACTAAACTGGTCATTGGAGAACCGTTCCCGTAAATATTACACTTAATTTGTCTGTTATTGCTCTCTTACCTCAATAGAATAATTTTACATTATTTGAGGAAATCATATTACATATTTTATGAAATACTAATTTTTTTTTTAATTAAAATCTTCACCAAATATAGTATATTTATTATTATGATTATTCGTACAATTATATGTAACGAAGTATAGCTCTCTACTTTATCAGTTTCTAGTTCTTTCGCATAAAATTTCGTATTTATTTATTTATTTATATGCAAAGAAACGCTACTTTTAATATACAGTAGATATATAAAATTAAAGTATTGTGAGAAAGGATAGCGAAAAAATATGTTTTTTGAATCTAGTCAATATAGAGTAGCTTTTACATTTAGATACATTGTAGATATTTCAAAGAGAATTGTTACATAGATATTACTCAATGTTATGAAATAAAACAAAACACGTTCATTTGAATCTATTACATTGTTAAACAGCATGATTTAAAATGTAACTGCATTTTTGAACTCGGTTCCATGATTATTGATGTATGTGCGATAAATAATTGTTGATTGAACAATTTCATATTTTGCGAACTACGCATACACGCGAGCTTAATAAATTAATACTGTACATAAGCTCTGCAGCGTATTATTCTATGTACAATCGAATCTTCGTATCTTTATTTTCAATCAATTTTCTCCTGCACTAATGCTGCTTCAAATTTGCTATGTAATCACGCATGCATAAAATTAAAATATTGTATGCAAGATAATTCTAAATCAATTTGGAGTTGGAATAAATAAATGAAGATAGGTACGATTGAAATTTTGTGATATTCTCGAAAATTTATCTTAACTATTGGAAAAAATAGTTTGTCAAAAGGTAGCATGAGTTATATTTATGATTTATTTCGTGCTCTCCTAAAATAAATTGTTTTATCTCTTATGCATTACGTTTTAATATTGGAAACTGATATTCAATATCAATATTGAAAATTGATATTAATTTACAATTTATTTTAATTTGATTCAGTTTTTCTAAATAATTTTTTGAAAGAAAATTTTAGCTTTAGTTCCGCGCTATCTCTTTTGTCAAAATATATTCTAATATAACTTTGGCAATATTAAGGATTACATTTTTGATATTGAAATACTATTTGGTAAACAGTATGAAATATTCGATAAAATTTCCGTGCAGTTTGGTACAAATTTTAAAAAACTCTTTTTATACTATTATAAAAATTTTGTTGCTAATCTTCCTAAATTTTTAAATATCTGAAATTGATATTTTTGGAGTATTTATTTAAAAATTTTTATTTTATAAATGTATAATAAAGTAGAAAAATGTGCTTAGCTTAAATTTATATTTTTGTGATTTTTCGATACATGTATGACACTAAAATAATTTCTTATAATTCGAGTTGGATAGATATACTAATGAAATAAGAATATAGAGATATATAATTGCAATATATATATTGTATTTATTTATATTCCCTAATTCATATAAATTATACACAAAGTATAATCTCTTACGATTATGCATATTTACACATTGCATTTTAAATTTATAACTAATTATTTTAAAAAAATATATACACAGCCAGAGTTAAACATATATTATTGCCTGAATATTAAACATTTATGAGGTATTTTTTTGCTTAGTTTTATTGCGCTTTTGATAAAAATATATTTAAAAAGATATATGTGTATGTATATATATATATATATATGTATGTATATAGAAATACAGATAATTAATATCTTCGTACATTTATCGTTATAAGTACTACGACACATTGTACATTGTTATGACACATTGAATATTGATTTCAACATTGATTAGAATAATTGACTGAAATTGACAATGAGTTTTAAAAAGAAAAAAAAATAATTTGTCAAAAGTCATCCGTTTTTTTTCACATGTGGTTCTTGTATTAATAAGAGATCGGATTTTATCTTGTATTAACCCTTACGAATTTCAAGAAATAGTAAATTAATTCAATTGTTTACATTACGTTTCAACATCGATGTTGATGCAAGTTAATATCTAAAAAATAAAAACGTAAAAATTTTTATCATTTTATATATATAAAAGTAAAATCATAATATATTTTTTTAATGAAACATTCTTTGATACGTTGTTTTTTCTAATTCTAAATAAAAGTTTTCCATCTTTTTTACTTTTTTTATTTCCTGTAAGATAGCCTTGTCAGGACACAGATGAAACACCTGAAACAAATCTTTTAATCCTAATTTATATTCATTCAAGGAAGTATAAGCTTGTCCTCTTCGAAATAATGCTTTACTATTCATGTTATCCGTTACCAGAACCTGAATTAAATACGTGTATTAAAGCATAAATGTATTACTTCTGATATTCTCACAGAATATTTACTTACCTCATTACAAAGATCTATAACTTTACGATAGTCTTTCTGTTTTAATCGTACAGCAGCTAAATTAAGTAATAAAGTTAATTTAAGATCCACCAGTGAGGCATAAAATGTATCCGACATGTTTTTCTGTTTGCTCATCCAGGTGTAATACCGTAATGCTTTCCTATATTTTCTATTAGCATCCACATAATTTTGCTTTACAAAATAACCATTTCCAGAATCTTTTATCTTCTTTATTACATCCTCCATGAACTTGTGCTAAAAATATAAACAGATTCAAATTAAAGTATAATTTAGCATACCAGTACGTAAGTAATACTTTTTAAAAATAATATATGAAATGACAATTTACAGTGAGCTTGTTAACATGTTGAGAATAATCCCAATCTTCCGGCCATGGCGTATAAACATCTTCAGATCCATCGTTCTCCTCTAATCCCCAACTTTCACCTTTTTTCAACTCTCCACAATCGACTATACTTATTTTCTAAAAACAATCAGTTATGAAGTTAAACTGTTACAAGTCCAGGAAACTATTAGCTTTGTAATTTCAAGAACAGCCTTACATCAATTGGAATATCCTTTTCAGTTGGTACGTTACAGATCTCAAACACTACACCCTTGCCTTTTACAATCCTTCCAAATACAACGTTAGTGTTGTTCAGATGCATAGCTGCTTGAACGGTAATGATAAATTGAGAACTGTTGGTATTTGGTTTTCCCTCATTCACCATGCTAAGTAATCCATTGGAATCGTGCTTCAATGTGAAATTCTCGTCGTCGAAGTAAGGACCGTAAATACTTTCTCCACTGGTTCCATCGAAATTAACAATATCACCACTCTGGATCATGAACTGTGAAATAACTGCAGCAATATAATATTACATATGTATAATAACTGTGGGTATAAATGTGTATGCCTTCACAAAAATCAATTTTTTTCTATTCTTAAAAAAAATCAAAAGAATAACAGTCTAGCTTGAATCTTTTTGTCGCTTACATATAAACTACCGCGGTACTATCACGAATTAAATTAAATTAATAATTAACGAATATACATAGTCCCCCCAAATTGTTCCCCGGCTGAGGTAATATTTTTCGCAATAAGAATAATTTTCCAGATTTAGTATTTTTAGATTATTAGAGTTGCGTTTCAAGATCGACAATTGTTCGACGCGCAATTTGGGGGGACTACGTATATTAGTTAATTATTAATTTAATTTAATTTTCGTGATAGTACCGCGGTAGTTTATATGTAAGCGATAAAAAGATTGAAGCGCTAGACTGTTATAGGCTTTGTATTTGTTAATTAACAATAACGGTCTTTAGTATTGAATATTGCCAAAAGAATAAATTATCTATATTTCCAAAACACTAGACTTGTTCTTCATCATTATGCTATACTTATTAAAATTTCTTATCTCGTTTTCTCTCTCTCTCTCTCTCTCTCTCTCTCTCTCTCTCTCTCGCTAAACTTTGAAAAATTATACATCTATTTCATCTTAAGCATAATAAGTGTATATACATAATATTATTTATATATATATA